CCGCGTGTTGGACCACCGGTCCGAATAGCAAGCACCACCGGTGCGAGAGGCGATTTGCCTCTAAGAGGTAGCGAAGGAGTGTGGTATTTGAGAAACAAGATATAACCCGTAAGACGGAACTGGTATTTCACTGAAGTCAGTGTTTTATCCTCCCAGACGAATCTGGTACCAATTCACCGTCCCCGGAGGGTAGAAGGCTTGGTTGGCCTGGGCGGGAGTCGACCCGGGATTCGAACCCGGGACCGCGCGAATGGTGAGCGCCCCACTTGTCACTACACCATCTCCGCCTCCTCTGCTACATATATCCTTTGTTTATTTCTTATATCCTTTGTTTATTTCTTAGTAACCAGTCAAGCCAAAATTCTGGCTGTGACTCCACTAAAAATTCGCAAAATAGTAAAGCTGAACAATTTATAAACATATTACGTCCTGTTTCCAATCCTTCTTGAATTTATCAACCTTTTTGTCAATTTTTGCATGTTTTTAGTCCATGACGTTTATCACGTAATGGTATCTTATTTTACTTATCACAGTCATGCATACAAGTGTAATGTATAATACGAAGTATATGCATTATTTTTATGTCATATGTATATGATAAAAATCACATTTGTTTATACTCGGCGCGCCACGAGTCGCGTCGACAAAAAGGCGTCGGCCACAGGCGCCCGTTTTCGCGAAAACGCCGCGGTACGCAATGGGTTAAAGGCAGCGCCCGCGTTCATTTGATGTTCCTACGCCCTCCTTAGATATCGTAGCTTTGTCGACAAGGGTGGAGGATGTACTAATTTCGCAGCTCAAAAATACGAGAGGATGGCGCCACCCGCTTGTGAAGAGGATGCCGCCCCGCCCACCTGGCTGCCATAACTGCTTTGGCTTAGCCTTTAAAGGCTGAGCCCGCTTTCAAGAATAATGAGTTATGGAGCTCATATAATACGTGATCCAGTAGTGAAGAAAAAAGCAGAAAAAATCATGGAAAATGCCCTATATAGAACCCTATGCTGGCCAGGTGGGCGGGGCGGCCGACTCTTCACTAGCGAACGGCGCTATCCTCTCGCCTTTTTGAGATGCAAAACTAGTACATACTGCATCCTCATAGGGAGGGCTATGATATCCAGAGAGGGCGCGGGAACATAAAATGAACGTGGGCGCTGCCTTTCAGTAGCGTCACATCAGTGGGAGGGGCACAGTGGTTCAAGTAACTCTGCCAACATCAACGGGTAATAGGACTTCTACTAGCAAAGAAATTGCAATTCATAAAATAAAATAAACTCTTAAGAACGTTCCCTCAAGAACAACTTTTGATAAGCGATGATTAGACGTGCTTACCTCCCCGCTGCTTATGTATGAATCCGGAATGTGAATTGAAAGTTTTCGTTGGCAGGGCTGAAAATAGACGGTATAGCATCCTAGGCTTTTTAGTCATGTAAGAATTCATCAATATATAACTTTGTTTAAATAGCTTCACAGTACGCTGCACTGATCGCCTTCCTTAAGCGTAAGTTCGCATTAATAGTAGGTTGGAAAGAAAGTTCTGCGACACTGAGATTAAATCGTTATAGAAAAAAATAAAAAAAATATTCCAAATGCGCTTGGTCTCTCGGATGCTGTTAATGCCTCGGTAGTGCTCCGAATTTAGGTTTTTCTCTGGACTCTTATTCCGCGCCGATTGGCATTCCTCGTGGTCATTCGGCCGTCACATCATTCGCCACGCTTCGCAGAGCGACCAGCAGCTCACCACTCCGGCGTCCCCCTCTCCTTTTAGAGAAGCTCCTATCCTGGCTCGACCAGGCCCTATCATTGGTTGAGGGATTTGGTAATCTTGTGCGATGCTCCCGACTAGTTCCCTCCTCTGATACGATCGGAGGGGCAGGCGGAAGGAGGACAGAACTCACCCAGCTCGGACTGCGGCCTACATGCTGTACCGTGCCGCGCGTATGCGGCGCGGTTTCTTCACGGCGCCGCGGCGGCAGGGCGGAGCGAAAGGCGATGGCCCGCGTCTCCGGCGCTGTGCTCCAATCCAGCAGCCTCTTTTATGTGGAAGGAAGAGGAGGGAAAAGTAGAGAGGAAGGGAATTGAACAGATAGTGGGTGCATATGTGAGTTAGTGGTAGTGGTAGGAGATCACAGAAAAGTCGACTATCACGAATTACTTCAGTGAATGGCAGAACTGGCGGCATAGTTCCCTTCGATTGTGAAAACGACGCAAGCAGCTTTTACACGAAAGTTCAAGCTGACAAATTGCCAACAGTTGGTTGTGACCTTATAACGCTATAACGTCACGTCCCATTCGAAGGGAATCATTCTGCCAGTTCCGCTGTTGACTGAAATAATACGCTCTGATTCTCGACTTTTCTGTATTCTCTGCTCACCATTACCACTAACTCACCTATGAGCGTTCACTATTTGTTCAATCCTCTTTTCTCTCCTCCTCCTTCCACATAATGGGGCATAAAAGGGGCTTCTGATTGAAGCACAGTGGCGGAGGCGCAAGCGATCACCCTTCGCCCGCCCGTCGCCGCGGTGCCGTGAAGAAACCGCGCCGCATACGCGCACGGGTGAGTTTGTACACGGAGCCGAGGGGATGGGGGGGGGGTCATACAGCACATGTGAAGCAGGAAAAACCGCGCAAAGTCAACAACCGGGAAAAATGTTTCCCAACACTGCTAATTTCTCTCAAAAGGCAAATACGACCTCCTTCATAGAAGAAAGAAGTCCGTGAAAAAAGAAAAATCAATCGTGAAAAAAATTTTGCCGGACCAGGACCTTGACCTTTCCTCCCCCAGCGACCAAATACGATCCCTCCACCCTGCTGGGGAATCCCCAACGACGTAACCATGAAATGATGGGAGACAGATTTCGTGGTAGTTTTCCAACTTACGTCTACTTCCTCTTTTCTGACTGGCCAGAGCAAAGTTCGATAGAGGGTTTGCTCCGGGACTTTGCGTGCGAAAGGGGCGCAACTATCTCCGCCCCATCTGTTTCAGCGCTGGGACAAGGGTCGAGATGCTATAGGAGCTGTTGTCGAAGAGGTTTTCTCAGAAGTCCCAAAAGGATGGGAAATGAACTTTCCGACGTGCATTTTGAGGAACGAAAATTTGAGGTTTGCAGATGAGACCACTTACCATGATGCCGTCATCACAGTCGTGATAGATGTTGAGTTTCGGTTCTATCGATGTGAACTCGCTTGCATGTCCACTGATTTCGAAATGACCACTGCTGTCAGTCTTTCCTCCTGCCATAAACTCGTCGGGGCTCACTAGGAATTTATTACGTCTTATAAACACCTGCGAAAATAATAAAGATTGAAAGCAATCTACAGTTTTCTGAGTGAGATAGCCAGTACGTGTCCAATTCAGAAAGCAAAAGTTAGGTATCGGCGCTAATCCGGGGACATCCAATGGCTTGAATGCGAGAAGCAGGAGTTCCAAAAAAATAGCACGGAACACCGAAAAACCAACGATGAAGGTACTGTGAGCGGACTCTGCCAGAGCGGAACGAAAAAAGAAGAAGAATGACAAACGTACAGTGACCCAAGTGACACCGCCCATACCATCAACATGGTGTGTGTCATTGAAGAGGCACTTTACACGATAATCGACTGGCGGATCCTTACTGGAGATCTTGCTTCTCTCAGTGGTGCGTCTCTTTCTTTAGAAGAGGAAACGTCACATGAAGCGGATGTGCAGCTGTGTTCTTCCGCCCACTCCAGTATGCTCCATTTAACAAGCTTACGAGTGATAACATCGATAATTAATAAGACAAGAAATGTAGGAGAATAAGAATGCAGTGCGAAGTTTCAAACAAATCTCTTGGTATGCGCCATGCACTCTGTTTTCACTCGGGGATTCTGAGCAATATGGACAACACAAATAATGGTAGGGATGTGCACGCAGCAGACATTTTACAGCCGCTGTCTAACCTCTAGCCCCACTTAGACCTTAATCAGGAATAGCAACGACAAAACTTTGCTCTAGCTCATTTCTAATTTACAGTCATTAATGCAAACAAATTTGCATGTTCTATCGATCTAAGCTCGATGTAGACAATCTCTGGTTTCTCCATAATATTTGCCGGCCAGCTGGAATGTGCCGAAATCGAACACTCGCTTTGGCACCTAAATAGGTGGACTATGACTTTTAGGAAATTTTGGCAGAGTCACTCGAACCACGGCTCACTTCTCATTTCCGGATCTGACCAGTGCCTCGGTTGCTATTTAACCCATTGCATAATCACGTGCTGCAAAATGTGCAGCACGCCCGTTTGCCTCTGTATAGCCGCATGCTACACATGGTGCAGTACGCTTCGTTTGAATCTATTAGCATTGTTCGCTGATCAGAGTGTCAGTAATTATGAAAGTCTCCTGGAAAGAAATATACAGGGGGGGGGCCAAAAAAAAGACATTCTGACCGAGTCACATATCAGCGAAGTTTTCGCAGCGCAGACAGAGAACGTGGATACGAGTACCAGGGCGAAGGATACCCAAGATGTTCCTCTATAAGCAGGAGCTGGCGCTCGCCCATCACCTTCATGTACACCAAAATATGAAGTCATCTCCAGCGGCCAACCTGACTGTGAAGGTCCTCCACATGTCGTCCCCCGTACCTTCTTGGAAAGGTTGTACTGCTACAGCATTGGGTGCCACCACATGGAATTGAAGGGTGTTGGAGAAACTCTCGCCTACTCGGGGAATGGATGGACTTGATGTACCTGGTACAAGGTGGAATATCTAATCAGTCCCTGGCTAAAGCCATCAATAACCCCGGGCGGAGCTTCAATAGGGTGGTCTACGGTGGCGGAGAAATCGACTATCTCGCTGATCTCAGGTACCACATCGCGGTTGCGGGCCAGAATCTCTCAATGGCGCTCGTCCAGAAGGCTGTGGCGGAGCATCGTGATAGTATTTGATATGCTCTTTAATATGGTGGTGGAAGTGTCCCATAAAAATTTAAATGAGGTAACTTATAGCGCCTCGAAAGTCAAGGAGGAAAAATGTCTTTTTTTTTGCCCCCTGTAGTGGGGTGGAAATTGCGTAATCGAAGAGTAGCGGACTGAGTATCAAAATTTCTTGGGGAAATTATTCTGCTATATAATAAGGATAAAGGATAAAGTCTTCGCCGTTGATCAATCCCTTTGTGGGATGCGGCACGCATTCTACTTCCATTCAGAATCGTAGTGGGTTATTGAATGCGATGTGGCCTATTACCAAGCACTTGCGGTGGCCAGCCGATGTACATCAGGTGTTTTATCCTCCATGACGAACTGTACCAATTCAACGTCCCGGGGGTAGAGGCTTGGTTGGCCTGGGCGGGAGTCGACCCGGGATTCGAACCCGGGACCGCGCGATTGGTGAGCGCCCCACTTGTCACTACACCATCTCCGCCTCCTCTGCTACTATATCCTTTGTTTATTTCTTAGTAACCAGTCAAGCCGAAACTCTGGCTGTGGCTCCACTAAAAATTTGCAAAATAGTAAAGCTGAACAAGTTATAAACATATCATGTCCTGTTTTCAATCCTTTTTGGATTTATCAACCCTTTTGTCAATTTTTGCATGTTTTTAGTCTATGACGTTTATCACGTAATGGTATCTTATTTTACTTATCACAGTCATACGTACAAGTGTAATGTATAATACGAAGTATAAGCATTTAATTGTTTATATCACATGTATATGATAAAAATCACATTTGTTTATACTCGGCGCGCCACGAGTCGCATGGATAAAAAGGCGTCGGCCACAGGCGCCCGTTTTCGCGAAAACGCCGCGGTACGCAATGGGTTAAAGGCAGCGCCCGCGTTCATTTGATGTTCCTACGCCCTCCTTAGATATCGTAGCTTTGTCGACAAGGGTGGAGGATGTACTAATTTCGCAGCTCAAAAAATACGAAAGAAATGGGAAATCATGGGATAATGACCCCCGCTGAACCAAGGTAGAGAGTGGCCGAACCCTTCACTGTCGGAGTGGCCTATCCCTCGCCTTTTTGAGATGCAAACTAGTATATACTGGCATCCCAACGGAGGGGTATGCTATTCCAGAGGGGCGTGAAAATAAAAATAGAACGTGGCCTGCTTCAGGTTAGGTTCACATCAGTGGGAGGGGCACAGTGGTTCAAGTAACTCTGCCAACATCAACGGGTAATAGGACTTCTACTAGCAAAGAAATTGCAATTCATAAAATAAAATAAACTCTTAAGAACGTTCCCTCAAGAACAACTTTTGATAAGCGATGATTAGACGTGCTTACCTCCCCGCTGCTTATGTAGAATCGAATGTTGAAGTGATAAGTTTTCGGTTGGCCAGGCTACTGAAAATAACGGTATAGGCATCCTAGGGCTTTTTAAGTCATGTAAGAATTGCATCCAATAGTATAACTTTATGTTTAAATAGCTTCACAGTACGCTGCACTGATCGCCTTCCTTAAGCGTAAGTTCGCATTAATAGTAGGTTGGAAAGAAAGTTCTGCGACACTGAGATTAAATCGTTATAGAAAAAAATAAAAAGAATATTCCAAATGCGCTTGATCTCTCGGAATGCTGAATTCCTCGGAATACTTCGAATTTAGGTTTTTCTCTGCACTCTATCCCCGAATGGCATTCTGTGGTCATTCGGCCCTCACATATTCCAGCTTTTCGCAGACGACCAGCAGCTCACCACCCCGGCGTCCCCCCTCTCCTTTTAGAGAAGCTCCTATCCTGGCTCGACCAGGCCCTATCATTGGTTGAGGATTTTGGTAAATCCGTGCGATGCCTCCTCTAGTTCCCTCCTCTGATACGATCGAGGGATGTGAAGGAGGAAAAACTCAACTCCATCGCGCGTTATCGCGACTCGAGCGATTCAGTTGTGCGACTGCGAATGGCCGCTTCTCAATGCTAATCGTTGAATCGCTGCAACCATGTATTTAGTCGCTCTCGAAATAGAACTTCTTACAAGTGTCGCAGCGGTCCTGCGACTAGCCCTGCAACGGCAGTCAGTCGCAGTGACTCGGTCCCCAAATCGCGAACCGTACACATTAGCCGCGAAGCATAAATGAGGCCCAAAGTGTGAGTTGTTTGCGCCAACACTCTCTAATCTGGTGTGCCACAATAAAATAGCCCCCGTTTACTAGGCCTGCCAGTGCGTGGGTAAGACTGCAGAAGTTATCAGCGGTTAAAGGGCCCTTATCCATTCGCCTGTTTCAGGCTCCTTACCCATTTGCTTATCTCTGGGTGACTACAAATCATCACTGTCATCAGATTTTCAGTGGCAACGCAATAGAGCGTGGCCACGCGGCGGCTCAACTACGTCTCTTCCAAGAGATTGTGCCGCACACAACTCTCGTCAGCTGGGACACGCCACCGCGCGACTCCGCTCAACTAAAATAGCGCTGACAGTTTTCACTTCTGAAAGTGGTAAATTGCACTTACGCTTATCTTCATCGTAGAGCTTGACTTGCACACCAGCAGCCGGTTTATCGTGACATATCAGAACTCCCCTGACACCAACAGCTTGGACTGATCCGAGAGCAGCTGCCATTGGCACGAAAGACAGAATAAGCAGAGCCGGCAGCATACTGAATGTATCTCTTTATACTCTATCAATGTGACGTATCCACTGCACGACGAATAGCGAATGCTAGCATAAATCGATTGTGTCGCGAAGTCGTTACGGAAGTAAAACAAGAGCGGTTATTGGAAGTACACCTGGGATTAGTAGTAACATTCAGAGGCTCAGATTCTGGTCGAGCCTTCGAAGCTGGAGTAGAACCTGAAGTTCTGTTGGACAAGCTTAGGAGCTAACAGAAGTGTGTTCAGTTTCACCTCAATCTCTGAGAGCTGGGTGAGGATAGCAGTGAGGGTCCAATCAGAAGAGACAAAAATTAGTATCGGGCTGATCAGGGAAACCAACTGGTTGA